TGCAGAAATTAGATTGTCTAAAAGATTTAGATCTTTTTGAGACAATGTGCAAAGTTCTAAACATTCCGATGGAAGTGAAGAAGATATGGGCAAGAAAACGATTGATGCCATGGTTCAGAGCTAACATGACTGCATGGTTGTACGAGTATGCGAAGAAGCATATGTCGAAACATGGCAGAGTGTACAGTGAATATCAGCTGGACATTGGGGCAGGAGCTTTCAAGCGAGCTTTCGTGACCCATCGGAATGCAGTGACCACCGCTGTGAAAAGAATTTCCAGGACGAGCGAGCGTAGTGGAAATGAGAAGGCAGAGATGCTGAAAGAAGATTTGGAAAGAAACGTGGCGTTGTGTCTCCACAACAGCTTCTGTAGAAACAGAGAATCAAACGTGGATCCCCTACCTTGCTGTAAACAGAGGGTGGAAGAGCAGAAGTGTTGGAGGACGGCTTCCAACAGCGTCAGGATAGTCAATGACGTGCTACAAGACACGGAGACCGAGAGTGCAGAGTCAGCGTCACAGGAGGAGGAAATGGAGCATTGATGAATGGTCGAGGAAACAAGAGGCAACAAGAAAGAAAATTAGAAGAATTTAGAAGTTTTAGAACTTCTAAACGACGAAAAAAGAAGAGAACAAAGGGATGATGAAGAAAAGTTAAAACTCAAAATTGTTTTATGTGTGTGAAAAACTCAAGTGAGAAACCAAGCAACCAAGTTGTAATTGAAAACTGAAACATTTAAGTTGAGTTTGGAAATTGTTGCATTTATAAATTTGCATTTTGGTTTTAGTTGAAGTGGCTTTAGAGACACTCACTTATTATTTATTTAGAAAGGCTTGAGGGAAGAGTATATTTAAATATTTCAGCCTGCATGATTGTTTTTAATCACTTAGGAAGACTGATAACTTTGTGGTGACATGAAAAACTTGAGTAACTTCTTGAGGAGGGAGGTTGTTGCATTGTTCTTTCTAACCACAAAGTTTCTTAGTTTTAATATTCAGGACAATAAACAAGCAAGATTTCCGAAGGGAAGGAGCATAGTAGGATAATTTTAGCTTGTTGGTTGGCAGGACTGTCCTGCAAGCCAACACCTTTTAAATCCAGGAGAAAAAGTTTCAATCGGGATATTGACACTGGAAGTCAGAAAATATGTTTTATCTTAAGTCATATCCTCAATGTGCAGATTAATGAAAGAATTTGAAGGCTATAGTGATGTAGTATGATGCCATTTATATTCTGCAGTGAGTCGATGTGACGTAGGTAAAAGTAATTTCGTGCATTTTGTAAATTCTGTTCGATGACACTGTAACCACTTAGAACATTGCGTGATTCAATGAGGACATTGACCGGACTGTCCGGGGAGTATGTGACATTCGACCAGAATGGCCAAAATGCAGTCTCTGCAGAATTCGGTATTTTAGCAGCAAGCCTTCCGAATTGGCGATTTAGAACGGATAAGGACGTTATTTGAACGATTAGCCAAACGGTGAAGGCTAGAAGATTCTGGAATTCTAATTTTTAAAAATTCGAATTATGACGTCATATTTCTGAGAAACGTCAGAGACGGCCATTTTAGCTAAAATAGAAAAAAGAAACAGAACAACTTTTATCTGCGATTACGAACAGTACGAAATCGAGACTAAAAAACAACAACGAACTACCGAACAGCAGAGGACGTTCCGAGTTGCAACTATTGTGCTGTTACAATAGTTGCAAGGCCGTTGCGAGCAACGGTGAAGGGTAAAACCCAGCCTTCCGAGTTATTGTGAACTGGATATTAAGAAGCTTGATTCACCGGATTCAAGAATCCGGAAGGGTCTCGGGACGTGGACTTTTATGAACTTATATTGAATTTTAGCATCCGTCATGTCCTGACTTGAATTTAATTAAGATCTTAGTTCGTTTTGACAAGAATGAGGAGCTAGAAGTAGGGGGGAAAGGGTTGATCCATCTTCGATGGAGATGATGATTTCTATCTACTGAACAAAAACAATAGTAATATAATAAGTAGTAGCCCTGTTTTTAGGAGTGACCTCGTGGTCTGGGGATACTGAGACCCAGCCATGAGCTCACTAATTTTGCATGTAATTCAGTTAATTTGAGCGTTCTGGTCGAAGCCGGAGAACAGTAACGTTTTTGTCAGCCTGATGTGAGAAAGACCACCGAAAAGTACTGGCTTGGTAGAGACGGTGAAAAACATGCAAAGCTCTGTTTAGACGCTAGCCAGTCGTCTTAAGACTTAGTTTTGTTATCCGTCGATATGTATCTTCCGGGCGAATGTTACAATCTCAAGAAAATCACGGGAGCGGAGGCTTGGTCCCCCAGAGACTGTCTATGTGAAGGGACTGTATAAACTGACTATAACAGCTGCTGTAATGTCCTAGATCTTAATTAACACCGTTATTATTTAATATTTCAGAGCATGAGTAGATAGAAAAAAGGAAAGGGTCAATCCATCTCCAATGGATTTAATATAAAACTGTCACACAAAGACATAATAAAATAGGTTGTTCGAGCCGTGTTTTTAATGACAATCACGTAGTCTGAGGATCCGAGACTCAGCTATGTGGTTGTGTTCGCATGCAAACGAAAGCTGATCAAAAGTCGTTTGACTGATGGCCTAAAAATGGTAACTTTTTACTTTGCCCTAAACAGACCAGAAAATCAACTGGCAAGGTCGAGACGGTGAAAAACGAGTAGAATTAAGGTAACTGACGCCTGCCAGTCGTTGATAGGTACTTTTTCTACGCTCCGTCGCTGTGTGATATTTGGGCGAATGTTACAGGTGTCTCATCCTTGTGTACCTTAGCTAAACCGTACAAACGGGCGGGTTGCCCCCCTGTTGATCTCATCTTAGAATATAAATGATCACTTATCTCGTCTCTTTTCAGTGATGGTAATACGATAATATTGTAGTAGCCTTGTTTTTAGGAGTGACACAGTGGTCTTAGGATACTGAGACGCAGCCATGAGCTCACTAATTCTGCATGTAACTAAAATTTGCGCGGTTTGGCCCATAGCTTTTAAGCAACGACTTTGTCGACCAAATGTTCCTGGACCACACATTGAACTGGCTTGGTAAAGACGGTTAAAAGCATGTGAAACTGAGTTTAGACGCTAGCCAGTCGTTCTAGAACCTAGCTTTATTTCCCGTCTGTATGTACTTCGGGCGATTGTTACATGTCGCTATAATTGAGTTTGCCCGTTTCACCTTAATTTTAATGTGATATTCAAATAAAAACTACGAACCAATCCACAAACCAAGATTTTTTTCTCGACCTTTCCATAACATTTCCCGTCAAATCGTGCTATCGGTCGCTTTTCTGGTCTGAATTTGCAATTGTCTCAAGAACGCACTGGTTTGTGTTGAGTTCTAATAAACTTTGAGTTCTGCACAAATCATCCTGAATGACTTTCGAGTCTCTCTTAGGTTCCATTCTGCGATAAAGTTTTGCTTTATTCGCGAATAGGCATATTTTGGAGTACAGATCACAGGTGATTGACTTTACGTAAATTAGGAATAAAAGTTGCCGTTGACAGATCCTCGGCGATTTCCACTCCCTACGCTTTGCCATTCAGATTTGAATTTGCCCAAAACCACACGCTGCAGGCAGTTTCTCAGAAACTCATTCATCCATCCGTTCAAGTGTTTTCCCAAAAATGCTGTGGTTTTTGAGGCTTCCAACTAATCGGTTAATGAAAACGCAGTCAAACGCTCTTCTGAAGTCCAGGTAAACTACGTCAAATCCAATGTGTTTGCCTGGTTGCTCAGCCATATTATTCAAATCTTCGTTGAAATAGCCTAATAAGCATCAGCCTGTGTTTCTTTTTTAACCTTTGGAGAAACCACAACCACGGTTTGGCCCGAACCATCGAGCTAGTGATTGACAATCGCGTAGGCTAACCATTGTACAATAACGACCTTGCATAGTTAGCCTATAAAATTGCTTTGAAATTGCGACGTATACTTGCTTTACTAGGTTTTATATTTGCAACGCAATGAAATGTATAATAAACAGAAGTCGAAGGTTTTTCGAAGCTTTGAAAATCTGCCTTAGTTATTGGGCACGCCCATTTTTTTGGCCTGGAAAAAACTGAAAGCTTTGAAACTATGAGATTTGACAGGAAATACCCTGACCATTTTTAGGTTAAGCGTTCAATCGAGAAACGCGGTCTTGGGAATATTTCCTGCTTAATCAGCCCCGACCTAGTTTTGTTCAGAAAAAACTTATGCTAATTTCTAACTTTTAACCGATGTCAAGAGTATTTTTGGCTTTTCTTAAAAACTACCCTTTCAATCTGGGATGAATGGTTCAATCGGAAGAACCGGTTTTAAGAACTTCTGCAGACGACGCGGCGGCTTCTTATTTTTTTTGTACGAAAATTGTTGGCTCTTTTTCCTTCTCTCCCACTTCACACGAGCATGAATTTTTTGGTGTAACGAGTGGTTCTACAAGGTTAAATAAGAATACCAAATTTGTTTGCCATATCTTAAGTTGTCAGCATCTCCCTTTCGTAGCAATCGGAAAATGCGAACAATACTTTAAATTCTAAAATTTCGCAGGTGGGGGAAGGAAAAAGAGCCAAATTGCTATGTCCTGGGAAGCTTCAATTGTCTCATAAATTTTCCTAATTATAGCAGTTTTAGGCATAGTTCTGATCTATAGGCTTCTCGTCCAATTTGAGAAAAGATGTATCCTAGAAGTTTTCCCAGTCTTTGTCCAGCCTCGATTTGAACAAGTTGATGTGAACGCTGGAAATTAGGACTCTGGTAGTGAGATCCAGTTGTTTATGGCTGCTATAGTGAAGAAGCTGCTTCGTAAACAAGTTCGTGACTTTCTTGTTATTAGTTTGCACGAATTATCTTGCATCGAAATGAAGCTTTTGCGGGGCCCGTATTAATATTTTATCGGTAAATACAAACTTTTTTTTTTTGACCTAGTTTTTTTAAAATATTTTTCATGTTTTTTTTACTTCTTGTGTTTTTCTAATGTTTGTGTTGTATCGCAAGTGATGCGAAGCTTCACCTCTGTGTAAAAAGTTTAAAGATGGGATTAATTGAACAGGTAGCGTTTTTTAAAATATTTATTAGTAACGTAATAACGAGGTATAGTCACGAGTGCCTTCATCACATATTCCAGTCACAATCCTGGGAATTTTCTAGATATGGAAGTGATAATGATAAAGAGATGATTTATTTTGATGTATTTTAAATTAAACTCGATACGGGTTACATTTCTTCAATAAGAACATGTAACTCGACACGAGAAAGTTTCTTTCTTACAAATACTCATGACTTTTTTTGTCTTAAGCAAAACTAGCTGTGGTTGAGGAACCAAAATAATACAATAATGTGGTAATTCTTTATACTCGGTCTGGAATGCTCTTTTTACAGTTTCCCACACCCTCGAAGGCAATTCAATGTAAAAATTTGTTCACTTGTTGACGCCGACAAGTTTTATTGCAGTTGAATAAGTCTTTTTAGAGCTTTCGTACCTAGAATTTCAGGAAAAATCAAACAGAGAGCCATAAAGAATTATTTCACTGCGCCAAGACAAAAAGTAAAAATTTGCACGTGGTTTTTTAAAGTGTAAAGGTAGAAACGTGAAATGTTTACCATTTATTTCTGTAAATTGTGAATGATGGCTGTTAAGAAAAATGGTTCAAAAAGTTCACCAAAATCTAAATTTTCATCCCGTCGAAACAGCTACACTCCGAGATCGGCTGTATCTTCGGCACCTGCATATGCGTTAACATGTAAAAGGCATAACCCATGCGAGCTCTGTGTAGACATATGTCCTCCTAACTCACGAATTGGCTGTCGGTGTAATACTTCAGCCACTGCAAGGACGTGCAGATGTCCCCAGAAGCTAGGAAAGAAGTTCATTTGTGATTCATATAAAGTGAGAGTTTGGACGGAGCAATTGAAAGCACGAGCAATGCATGGGCAACCTGGTCTGCTGGGCGAGAACAAACCAATTTCAAGGCGCGATCAGTTTTCAAGTACATATGCCTTGGCGTTCATTGACCCAGATAGCAGAGACTACAACAATCGGAATGTTGACAGACCTGCAGGAGTGGCTACGATGAAAGTTCCGGCGCCTCCGGAGAAGAAAAGACCACAAAGAGGATGTTGTGTATGCTCTTCATGGGATGATGGCCGAAGCAGTAAGATTTTTTTCATCTCAAATTAATTTTAGTTCCTAATTTTATTGTCGACATTAAATGGACAAAAAAATTGGCAAATGATGAGCTTGTAGCGAATAGTCTTATTAAATAGTCAGTTGAAAATCATATTTATTTTCAAAAAGTAGGAAAAGGGAGTCTCGAAAAAAGTTGGTTGGGCCGCCTGCGCATTAAAACAAATTCTTCGAAAGTAAGACTCTTCCCCCCCCCCCCTCCCTCACCACTAAAAGATCAATTTTATGGCGTAACGAGTGGTTTTACAAATGTTATGTTTGGAGAACAAGATTGTTTTCTTTGGGGGGGGGGGAAGGAGCCTAAAAATTTGTCCTCAATCGTGCCGAGTACGCAGGCAGCGTTCGCAACCTGTATTGCGGGTAGATTCTCTGCTAAAGAAAACTGCCTGCCCTGGGTTTCTCGGTACATGTGCTCAAGTTCTTACAGAGCTTAGAAGAAGCTCAGTGGAAGGGCCGGCGGCACCGTGAACTTCAAAAGCTATTGGTTGAAAAATATATCCATCATAAAATAAAAACATATGATATATAAAATAGATCCATCAGCCTCAGCAGTATAATCAAATACATTTATTTTAGATGCCACTGTACGAAGTCACGGAAGCCACTCGGACGAGTGTGCCTATTGCGGTTTCAAAGAAGGGGCTTTCGACTTCCGGCCCAAAATCAGACGCAGCCAGAAACAACAGCGAAGGTCTCTCACTACTATGACCAGTCGAACTATTCGAGATGCGGAGACTTCTACAGATACCACAAAAAGCGGATTCAGGGATAAGGGTGCTCGAACCTCTGATGAAGTGCTGACCAAACTTGACAGCATGGAAGAAGATCTAAACTACCTGAACAAGCAATTAATGACTACAGGAATTGGAGGCGGGAAGGAAGGGAGGGCGAATGAAAGCACCCCTAAGGCGCAACGGAAGAGCAAAAACCTATCCTTGGCAGCAGAAGTCATGCAGAAAGTTGCGGATGCTAAAGAAAAAGAACTTGAGAAAAACAGAGCTTTGTACGAAGAGAAGGCAAAGTATCTAGAAGAACATCTTCTGGTTAAGAAAGAAAGAGCATTTGATCCGGGTTATGCTCAGTATACGCAATACGCTTACTAGAATTTTTTAAATTTAATTGTACAATTTAGATTACGAAGAATATAGCAACTTTGGCTGAATACTTTGAACTATGAGTATAGATTCGTAAAACAGATGAAACGACTGCTTCTAAATACCAAACTTTCAAGGCAAAATTTGGTGGTTTTTAAAGGTTAATTATGAAGACCAAAAGTGTTTGTCATAGTCTAATTATGAAAAAATCAATTATAGACCAAAAATAAACGTGAAGTTGAGTCACACTTGCTTCTTGAAAGTTATTTCAATTTGGTAATAAAGTGGTTTTTGTTAGACTGCCGAATTTTGTTTCCAGTAAAAAAAATTTCGTTTTCCAGTAACTAGCGACCGTTCGGCATTCATAGTCAAATCATTCTGAAACAAGATTGAACAGTTCAATGTCAGAACCTTTAAAATGACATTTGATGTTCTGAATTCCTTTGAAATGCGTCAGCGTGAACAAGTGAACAAATTCTTACTAGAAATATTTAATGGCAATTGTTTTATGAATACTTTTTTTTGTGATTCTACGAAGTTGTGGGAAACTAAGAAAATTCCGTGAATGGGGGTTCTTACTAAGCGTGTGGGTTGCCCTATTTTAGTTTTGTTTCAAATCAATATGCTGGAGGGGGCTCTTATTTGGAACCACACAGTACTATAAATAAACGTCAAACGGAGTTGAGAGATCTATAAAGTACTCGCTTATTTCCCTTTTTAGACCCTCCCTAAGCAACAGAAAAAATGTAGCCTGCAAATTTTTTTTATCACCGATCCCTGGCGCACACTGACTGCCAGGGCTTACTTCTTTGGGGATGGTGGTGTTTACCGCCCCCCTTGAGGGGCAGTGGACGTTACCATCCGAACGTTACCGAAATACGATTCAAACCGTCGACCTTCGTGTTAAACGCTGAAAGTGTTACTCACTTGGCCACGACCGCAAAGTTTTAAGGCACTTTTCAAGTTTTCCACTCTGGACTTAAACATTACAAAATGATGTTTTTTAAACAATGCTTCATAGAGAAATTTTCTGCCCGCCATGTTTAAGCTGCTTTGACGTTTCATTTTTGCTGTTGAATGACAGAGTTTTTTTCACGTTTAAGCTATATCGTATATTGCAATGTGTAAAAAATGTTTTCGATTTTCCAGTGTGAATTCAGTGTTTGTTTCACCAAGCTGGAAATAAGCAACCAAATAGTGGGCTGCTGCCAGGGGTTGCTAGTTTGGTCTTTAAATGTGATTACCGAAATCCTTTTAGCTTACAAGATACATTGATTTTGGTGATTTTTTTTCACAAGTTTTCAGAAAAGTTAGATTTTAAAAAATTCACAGACTTCTAATTCCCATAGCTGTAATTGGGTTCTGTCAGGGTACTCTCAGGAGTTGCAAATCTTGCTTCTAAGTATGACTGCTCGAATGCTTTTGGTTTTCGAGATGACTTTAAATGATTTTTATTGTAGAATTAAGGTGGATTTGTGATTCCCAACGCTATACTGAGGCTTTGCCAGGGTACTCTCAAACGTTGCAAACCTTGCCGCAATATATGACTGCGCAAGTTCTTTGTTTTCGAGATATGACTTTTTGTAATGATTTTTTCAAAAATTTCAGAAAACCTAGATTGAAAAAATTTCTAATTCCCAGCCGTGTAGTTGTGTGCTGTCAGAGTACTACCAGAAGTTGCGAATCTTGCTTTCAAATTTGATTACACAAATGCTTTTTGTTTCCGAGATATGACGTTTTTAAATTGTTTTACGAACAGGCTAATGAAAATGAAGACGTAAGTTAAGCAGGAATCTCATTTATGATTTTGTGGTTTCCATATAAGTTTTCCATAAATAGGCAAAGTGCAGATGCCCCCGTCTGTTTGTTACAATTGCTTGTAAAATTTTCAGGAATCAAGGGGAAATGGAAAAGAATCTGGTTTTTTGTAAAGCATTTAAAATACGTTTAAAAATTTGTAATACGTTTAAAAAGTGAAAAATACTTGAAACAACAACATAGATATCAGTCAAGGTGACCAAATATAAAGCGACTGTGTCCTAAGTCATGTTTACAGAAACACGGTAGTTAAAAGCCTCTTGAAATTCCAGAAGGCGTTTAACTACTGTGATTTTGGTAAATTTACTTGGAAATGCAAATAATTGGATAATTTGAAGCTAGTGTTTTTATGGTCAAATTGCACATGATTTTTTGGATAGTTTGAAGCTAGTTTTTAATGGATGTGATAAGTTTTTATATCTGCTACGCTGTGTTTTCATTTGAAGTATGTTTTCCTAGAATTATAAAAGGTCGATGAACGTGGTCGGATGATTTTTTTTCAGGAAAAGTCTTAAAATTGTTTACGCTAAAAATTTGTTTTTTTTTGCTATTTGACTTTTTTATTCTTTACGTTTGCGATTAGCAAGCGTTATCAAATCGGAATATATACTTTATTTTTTGGGTTAACTAGTTTATCAAAATCAATTGAATCACTTGACATGCTCAATCGCTTCACTTGACATGCATTTCAACTGACATGCTCAATTTCGTGAAAATTCAAATTTAAACACTGGGTGGGTGCTAGTTAATACAGGGTAGTTTCAGGGGTAACTTTAAATTTTTTTTTCAAAAAAAATCCATTTTTTCCGCTCAACTGGTGTCTGTTCTGTTCTGTTCTGTTTCCCATTTACGCCCCTCGGGGGGCCTTGGGTGGTTCTTTCTGGCACTTCCTCTCATGTCTGGCTAGGTTATTAGCAGTGATCCAGGCTCCGCAGGATCCACACTCTTTCCTCCCCCTGGTCCCCGTGTACCTGTTACCTCCTGTCTCCCTTGCCGCCGTGTTCCCTACCGTTCCACTCCCTCCTCCGCAACTCCTCCTATGACTCGCCATATTACCCCTTGTTACCGTCACCGCGCGGTCCCCACACCTACCCATCTGGTCCCCCTTACAGCTCTTTCTGTGGTTTGTTAAGTTGTGCTTCTCCGCGAAAGTTCTGTTGCATCTGTCGCATTTAAACACCCTCTCCTGTATCCTGTGAACTCGTCGTTCATGCTGCACTAGACCTCCTTTCGTTTTACAAATTCGTCCGCATCCCTCCCACCTGCATGTTAAGTTTTCTCCCTGATACCTCGCCTGGCTCCTTCTAGGTTTCTCCCCTCCCCTGTATCTGCACATTTCACTCTCCCATTTCTCTAGCGCTTCTTTTCTCCTTTTCACTGTCGCCTTCCATTTTTTTCGGTCCTGTGTTAAATTTTCTATATTCGTCCAGTCCTCTCCCGCTTCCCTTATGAGTCGCCTCCAGTAATTAACCACGCCTCCATTTAACCTACCCTGTTGTGTTCTCTCGTTTGTCCAGTGTCCTAGTATAACTTTTTTAGTTGTCCTGTTGTCAACTGGTGTCTGCTCAAAGATTTTTGGCCTTCCTCTTCGTAAGTTTTGTTCAGTTGCTGATTTGAGAATTTCAAATGTCTTGCTTGGCATGCTTGCCTAGAGTTCCTGTTTTTATAAAAACATGTTTTATCAAAGTGTGTGGGATTGGGTTTTTTATTTAATTTTTTGAGACGCTTTGGAGTGTTTTTTCTACTTTTTGCAATAAATTTTTTTTTCTCAAAAACCCTACTACCGATTTTCAAAAATGAGTAGCCATAGAAAAACCCTGCTACTTTCTTGTGCGCCTGGATGCGCTCCTGGTCTCTTTTGCTTTTCCCCTTTTGTGTACAGCCTTCGAAAAAGTCTGCGGGGGGATGTTTGACCAGTATTTTTGATTTTTTCCTCAAAAACTAAACTACCAACTCTGAGATTTTGGTTTGAATGATTAGAACGGATTCAAAAAGGTCCCCTATATAAGTTAATTTTTTTTACTGTTGTTTGAAACTTTTTAACTTTTCTCGAGAACTACCCTGCAAATCCTAGGTTTTTGGGTTCAATCGAAATAACAGATTGGGTGAAATTCTACTCTGTAAGCGGCTACGCTCAGTTTTTTTGAAGCAAAAAGCTATGATTCTCGGAAATGTCAACTTTCTGATTTGTTGACTGTTTTTCGGAGTTCTCTTCTCCGATAACTAGCCTGCTAAATCTGATATCATAGGTATAATCGGCACAGCAGGTTGTTGAAAGCTTTACTTTAAAGTTTGCTACGCCCAATTTGAAAGTTCAGCGTGAAAGTTTTGAAACTGACGTGAAAGTTTTAAAAATGACCGTTTTTGGCAAATTTTTTTTACTCTACTCAAAAATTACCGTTCCAATTCTCAGGTTAAGTGTTCAATGGAAAAATCTTCTCTTTTTACTGGCCACGACCTGCGTTTAGCAAAAAAAGTTACCGATTTCGGAAACTCAAGTTTTTGAACTTCGACCGTTTTTTAGAAATTTTTTAATTTATCTTGAAAAGTACCCTATCAAATCTGAGATGAAGATTTCAATCGAAAGAAGCGGTTGCGCGAATTTTTCTTACAGAAGTGACTACTCCTTAATTCTTTGTTAGAAAAAGGTTATAAACAACAGGTTGGCGAAGTCCAGTTTGTGAAATTAAACATTTCGTCCCGCATCAGTATAACAAACTCAAAAAACATCAAATACGTACCTCCAACTTTAGCTTCGCCTCTGTGTCTTAAGTTTAGTTCATTTCCTTTGTAAAAAGAAACACAAAGTACACTATCGAACAGCAAAAGTTTAAAGCTGACGAAGAACGTGATCGACTTCTAGTATTGTCAATAGAATTTGATTTTCAGATATCTCGGCGGAGTAAAAACTTTACCTTTTGATGTAGTTTTTTCAAAATCAGTTGATTTTTTTTTCATAAAAGTGTCAATCATAAATTGTTTTTGTAAATCAAACAGTTTTAAAGTCGTCTTTTTACTTTGAAATTTGAAAGTTGAAGTGTTCTCAAACAATTATTTTGTTTTTCATTTCTGTTACTTTGCGCTCATTTACTTTTTGCGTTCATTATACACTCAAGTTTGATTTTTGGCAATTTGAATTTTGTTCATTTCCTTTGTAAAACGGAAAGAAAACTACACCATCGAACAGCAGAAGTGTAAAGTTATTGAAGAACGTGATGGACTTCTGGTTTCGGAAGTGGA